ACGACAGAAGAGAATATGAGATTGTATAAAGATGCACAATATTGCTGAAAAGAAGCCACATATAGCCACTGTTCCATAAAGGCAGTATTTTTTTAATTTTAAAATTCTGCATCTGAAAACACAGTATGACAGAAAGCATCTATATACACCTGCAGTGTTTTTGGTATGATACAGTATTTAATACATCCACTGTTTTCTGCAAAAAATTTTGCTTTGTCAGACAGAAACGAACTTCCCTAGACAAAAAAATACAGCTAAGGCACAATTTTGTTGTTGTTGTTCTGCTAAATAAAAAGACAGAAAAGGTGCAAAAATGGGCAGGTAATGCAATCATTTCTGAGAATCACATTCTACCTCAAGGAAAAGCATTCAGATGACTGGAACTTTGATTACTGGTCAATTTCAGATAGTTCAATATCTCTTAAAATACTCCTTTAAATAAATAGCAAAATATGTACATATTTCAGTGTGTGCCATTTGAATTCTTTTTTTAAAACTTTATTTACAGATTCTCTGTTTTTTAAAATCAACACATTACAAAATATTTCTGTACAGTTTTATGCATATTATGATCTATAACAAAATAGTTATTTTTAAAAACTATATCACCACATGTCTTTGAAAACAATGAAGGGGACGGTAATAACTTAGAGTGAGGCCTCTAAAACAAATACCCAAACAAATGCTATTGACAACATATTACAAAAAAAAAAAAAAAAAGGCAAAAGGACTACAAAGACAATTGCGCGCAATTCTAGTGAATTTCCTGTGAAAACCCTGGGGTTGTCTTTGGCCTCCATCAGCACTGGAGCAATGGAAGGGTAAAGAATAGAGTCTGAAGGTAGGAGAAGGGTGATCCCTTTGAGAACCCTACCCATCCGGGAATATTTAGTGCTATCACTTTCCAGGCAGGAAGCATGAACAGATAAATGGAGAACGTCTCCTGATTTACCCTTGAATGAAGTACATAAAGTCACCCAGTCTTGGGGGCAGGGGAGGTTTGCAAAGCCTTTTCGAGCACTCTGCCGGTAATTAAGCCAGCCCATTACAGCGGCAATATGCTCTAAGAGAGTGCTTCAGGAGTTGGCTGAGCATTAGATGAGCACCCAAGCCTTCATTTTGCCCATAGGAAAAATATAAGAACATTTTTCTTAAAGACGACGTTTGTAAGCAATTTCTATAGCATCTGCAAACTACAGATTGGCAGCCCCTCCCTTAGGAGGCTGCCCACAGAAGCTTCACGATGCTCTTTCTTCTGCGATGTTGGTGGAGATGGGAGGGAAAGGATGGATGGTCAGCTTCCCAAAAATAATGTTAAGGCCACATTTCGAAAAGGAGAAACCTAAGGCTTTTTTTGTTTGTTTTGAAGGAGGGATGGGAGAAGCAAGTTGGAGGAACATGAGGGATGGAGTAGATGGCATTAGGGATGGGGATGACAAGTGCAGAACCCGCTTTCTGGTGGTGTCTGTAGGCAGAGGCAGTTGGAATATTCCCAGCGAAGTGGAGATGGAAGAGAGGCCACATTCTCCCTGCATAAGCTTGGCGAGACCAGAGCCAAAGACAACGTGAGGGGTAGACACAGGTGGCGCAAGAAAGCCCTCCTCCATCTTAAGAGGGTCCTATACAGTATCTTGTTTGCAAGGTAAAAACAAACAAATAAAAAACTTCTAAGTTAGAGAGCCAGAGAGGAAGAGAGAGAGGAGAGAGAGAATTTGCATAGATCATACATTCAGCTCAAGCAGATTTGGACAACTTCGTTCCCCCCTCCCAGGTAAACTCAGCAGACACAATGAGGTAGCGCCTGTGGTAGACCCATGGGCAAAGTAAGGTAACTGAGGCAGAAGCAAACAGGACATCCCATGAGCCAGCACAGCCCTATGTGGTTTCCAAAGAGGCTTCCAGGGATGGGGCAAGATGGCTGTCAACGCTTGGGATTTGGAGAGAGCCTGGCTGTTTCACACCCTACCTCCTCCTCCTCCTCGACTGTCTTCGCCATTTCTGCCTGGTTGGATGCAGTCCCACGAGGGGTAGCCCCAGGCAGATGTGGACCTCTGCATATCTAAGAGGCAGCAGTCCAGATCTCCAGATTCTGTTCCTTCTTCCCTTCAGCACAGTCTTGGGACCAGGAGAGCGGAATGATCCATTCCTCCTCTGTGGAACTGTCTCTTGGGGAGGGGAATTTGACTTAGCAAGAGGTCCCCATTTAGAGTTCAACATGGGCTGTTGTTTTTGCCCTGACCTGATGCTGGCTTTTTTCCTCTTCTACCAGGGCAATGCATAATCTCACTGTAAACCACCTCGCCAGAGAGCAGAGGTTGCTGGCAGTGCACATGTGGAACAGTGGAATTTTTCTTTGCCCACTATGTATTTAAAAAAAAAAAAAAAAAAAAACGACAACAACCGACATTGAAAAAATCAGATTTTTTTTCAAAAAATCTGGATTTCTGGTTTCCTTTCCAAATTGGAAGATTCCACTACACTGTGCTTACATTTTTAACATACAATGATAGGTTGGGGCCGAGTAGCAGCTGCTCATTCTGGGTAGGTCATGTTCATGTCAGTAAGACTACGGTCCCCAGCCCCACTCCCATCATGCCCTTTTGTCTCACACCAACCATTTCACTCATCTGTGCTAGTATCCTGGGCTCCGTAAGCATCTGTAACCCCTACCACAGTGTGTGGCTTTGATCCTGTAGGTCTAGCTTGCTGTCTTTAAAGCAGAGTGCTTTAAAGCGGATAGCTGCTTCTAGAATGTACACCTCTCCACCCCTGGATGCTGCTGGAGAGCTGGTGCTCCAAATCCTCAGTGAACTTGGTTGTGGAAGGGCTCTTTATTCATACCCCACTCCTGGTAGCTACTGCCCTGCTCTCTGCATCTTTCTGGCAGAAAGCTTAAGGTTCTAACCAGTGTCTTCTATTTGCCAACTAGAGAACCAGAGGGAAACATGGTCTTCAAACACCCAAACTTGTGCCCAAAGTAGAAGCAATTGCAGTGAGCGAGAAGTGGGGGGCAGGTCTTGTAGTTCTGCTCATCCTCTCTAAACTCCATTTGCATTTTAGAAGTTAAACCCACAATGAGAAATGAAGTCAGAAGGACTCATGATCTCACCAGGAAAGCCTTTTTTTCCCCTGCAAAGGGAGAAAGCAGTGTACTTCTTACAACACGGGGGAATTGCTCACTGCCTCCTTGGAGACACACTGCTTTATGCGTGGACCAGGAAGTGAAGGGGGATGTGGGGAAGGCTGGCTGTCTCCTGAGCTCAATTTCTGCCTGAATGTCACTCAGTGAGTGGGACACTATATGGAGGGCTGCAGCCTAAGGAATGCTTCCTTCTCTCCACAAACCAACACCCCAAGGCCCACCGTTAAGCCTTCCTGAGCTTCCAGGGACCTCGTCACTGGCTCAGCTCACAGGTGCTATGCCCTGCAGGCTGTAATAGATTTCCAGAGACCATGGCCCTATGCTTTTGAAATCTTCCACAACCCAAGCTCCAGGCTGTCTGACAATGGCCTCCAGCAAATCAATCATTCTCAGGCAGGTTAAAAAAACAATTTTCCCTGGAAAAATATCCTCTTTCCTCAAATCATGCTAGGCTTTGTTTGGGATTTTCCTTTTTTTTTTTTTTTTTTTTAAACCAAATGTAATATCTGCAACGTTATTCTCTGGTCTCTAATAACATTAGAGAAGGCAGAGGAATACTCTGACTTCTCAGCTCTCCGAATTAGCTGTGGTGAGGAAGAAATGAAGTCACAGGAAAAAGGGAAGGGTCCCCAGAGTCAGCCAACTCTGCCATTTCTCCACTTGTTCCAGGATAAAAACAAAAAAAGGCAGACATGTTAGTGGGTGCAGGAGGGACCCCGTCTTGACGTCTGCAAGTTCACATTATGCGCAGGGACTTGCCACTGCTGAGTCCCCAAAGCCACTGCAAATAACGCTGCAAACACAAAGCACTAGTGGCCCAGCAAAGAGGGTGAAAGGGAAGTTCCTGAAGTGGCTTCAGCAGCCCCAGGGAAACCCTGGCCAGAGGCAGAGGCCGGGAGCAGAAAGAGGATGTGGTACCCAGCTTCTGGCCACCATAGAGTCTGTAAAAGAGATCATAGGGGCTTTCTGAGAAAAGTACCATGAGATCCCTAGAATCGCTGTTGAGAATGACTATCTCCTGGACTCTGCTGCCTGGATCTGATGACCCTCTTCCTAAGATGGATCTCGCTCAAAGGAGCCTGTTTCCCTCCATTAAGGTCACACGGATGCCCATGATTAGATGGGCCATGGGAAGGCATCCACGGAGCAAGCAGGGATGGCCCAAGCTCTCTGCAGCTAGCACATTCCCCACCCACCCTCCAAGCTTTCTGCCTGTTACCTCCTCGTGCCTGTGGTGGGGGGTGAGTGGGGGGAGGATGGGAGGCTCAGGAATTCCAATACTCTTGGGATCCGAGAGAGAGATGAGGCTGACACTCTGTATAAGGAAAAAGTGAGGCTCCAATGGTCTCCAAGGCACCCCACTCAAAGCCAGTGGAAGATGCCTGTTGGAGCTTTCTTGGCATGGTGTTCAATGCCCCTGCTTTTACTCTGAGGAGGAGGAGGATGGGGGGTAGACGCAGAGAAAGATAAACCGAGACAGACACCAGAGGGTGGGAAAAGGGGCCTTTTGTGAATAAAGGCAGCTTCAGTTAGTAACATAATTGACAAGCTGCAAAAACAGCACCTACTAATTAGTCATTGACTAAAACATATAAATAATAAATATCTAAAGTGACCCTTCTCTACATCCTCCATTGCTAACAGGACATCCTGCTTTGCGAGGTTTGGGATGGGGCAAGCACAAAACGAAGGGCAGCCCCTTCAAACCTATGCTGGAGAGAAGTGTCAGGACTGGCTCTCCATGGGAAGGGCAGATGGCTACCAGCGGTGAGCCCTTTTTCCAAGGGAATCCCACCATTCAGGCGAAATGGGATTACAGGAGCAAGGGACGCCTCCTGCGAAGGGCCCTCCTGGTGAACAGGGATGACACTCCAGGGGGCTCGTGGCAGGGAAACCTTTTGGGTTTCTGATAACTCAAACACTTGAATCATACTGTTTTTTGTTGTTTAAATAACCTTCCTACTTGTATGTTGCATGTCCCATTGAGCCTGTTGGCCCCTTGGATTAGGAAGGGCATGAAATTAAAAACCAAATCTGAAATGCTATTTCCTGGACGGGAAAAGTCTGGTTCATGCGGTTTGGTCACTCCCAACAGCACCGGCATGCAACTGACAAAGGGTTTGTGTGTCTGACCTCAGAACAGAAGGGCTCTGGCAGGGGATGGGTGCTGCTGTGCTATCTAGCTCAGGAGTTTTGCTCCAAGCATTGCTTTGTGAGTTTCACGGGGTTGCCTTGTGAGTTTCATGGTCATGGCCATCAAAGTTCCCATTTTCAAGGATCAAAGAAGGTCATGGTCTTGAGTTTGGTGCTCACAAACATCATCCTATTTCTGCTACTTTGTGTGGCAGCCTTGAGGGAAGGAAGCCTAGACCCCTGAACAGGTGGCAGTTGCACTTGTGGCTAGACCTTGGCCATGCCACATCAAAAGGCTTTCCCACTTACCTAGTTACTAAGGAGAATAGCTCAAACCAAGGAGGGCCACTGAGAGGCTCAGAGCTCTCCTAAGGCTGCAGTCTCCATGAGAAAGGGACCACGACCAAGGCTGGCACAAAAGTCCCTCAGCCAAGGGAGGAGCAGAAAGATGAACCAAAGGGCGGGGCTGGAGTTTGAACCCATGGTTGGTCTGGGCAGTGCTTGTCAAACTGGCATTTGCAGAGCCCTTGGGTTCTGAAGAGGTACCGTAGGAGATACCCTGGGCAAGGGGACCGACCGGAGGGCTGAGCTTTGGGAGGGAGCCTTGTACTCTTGAGCTTCAACCAGAGCAGCTTGGATTTCGTCCGCACCCTGAACTCCACTTATGACTGTGCTCAGTAAACAAAAGTTCTGCTGCTCAAAATAAACGTTTCAAAATCACTCGTCTGGGGGCGGGGTGGGTCACTGGACGGGGAAGACAAGGAACCTGTAGGACTTGAGGATCAACCAGAAAAGGTGAGACCGTCACAGTGCAGGGACTGAGCCGTCCCACCCGCAGCTTGCCAAAGGCAGGTTGTTGGCTGATCCTGCTTTGACCTGCTGACCTTCCCTTTCCATCATTCTATGGCCAGGAGAGACCCATTCTCAGAGGGTGCCCCCCCCAGGGTGGGAGGCCAGGGTTCAGGCCTCACAACCCCTCTGGCTGCTTTCCTGTTGAGATCCTGCTGTGGCCCACTCCTCGTGCCCAGTGCTACCTGAGCCGGCCATCAGGTTTGACCGCCCCCAGCTCCGACTTGGGGTCAGGGCTGAAGGAGCTCCAGGCCGTCTGGCTGCAGATCTGCATGACCCGGCAGGCCGTGGGGCCCGTGGCACAGATGTCCATGGCAGTCCACATCCCGCCCACCAACGAGTCCAGCCATCCCTCCAGCACTGTGCCCGTGGAGGCTGCGTTCCTCCGTGCCTGCTCCACCTGGGCGGGGCTGATGGGCAGGCTGAGGACGGGGTTCAGGCTCTGGAAGCTTTGCTCCATGTAGGCGTTGCGGAGGGGCCCATTGTGCAGCTTCAGTGCCTCCTCTGAAAGACAAAGGGAGCAATTTGAGGATTAGAACAGCCACCAATAGGATGCCTAGTCATACTTAACCCTGTGCCTGGTGCTGCACTGGGCACCATGCATCGCCTCATTTAATTCACATGACAATCTCATGAGGAAGTTCTTTTAGCAGTCCCATTTCACAGCTGAGAAAACTGAGCCCGTAAGGACAGAGCCCACTCTGTACAGGGCATGGTGCATGCCTTTATTCATTCAACACATGTTTACAGAGCACCTTTGATAGCAGACACTGATTCAGCCAATACATATTTTTAAGCACCTACATTGTGCCAGGCATTCAGTCAACACATATTTACTAAACACCCATGGTCTGCAAGGCACTGTGTCATTTGATAAAGGTATATTAAGTACCTATTAGATACCAGGATCTATTCTAGGTGCTGGAGCAAACCAGATAGGAAGGTTAAGATCCAGTGGAGGGAGAACAACAACAAAGAAATAAACAAGTAGATAAATAAGGTTATTTCAGGCAGTGGTAAGTGTCATGAAGGCAAAAAAACAAAAAACAAAAAACCAGAGTATTGAGAGAAGAGGGTTGGCAAACTGCAGCCCTTGGACCTAATGTGGCTGGTGTTTGTAAATAAAGTTTTATTGGAACATGGCTGTGCCCATGTATTTGCATATTGTCTATGGCTGCTTTTGTGCTACCAGAGCTAAGTACTTGAGACAGAGTCTGTATTTTACCCAACAAGCTGAAAATATTTTGTATCTAGCCCTTTACAAAGAAAGTTTGCTGACCCCTGGGTTAGAGAGTGACAGGGTGTTTGTTTATGTTAGACAAGGTGGGTGGATGTCATCTCTGGGGAGGTGACATCTGAGCTGAGTGATGATTAACATACAGATCCTGGGGAAGAGAATTCTGGGCAGAGGGAACAGCAAGTGCAAATCTGAATTAAGCCTCTTTCCCCAAATCACACAGATGCTGAGTGTCACAGCCAAAGTCTGTACCCAGGTCTGTACCCAGATCTCAGCTGCTGAGTGTCCACCTTGTACTCTGCATAAGTTGGATTTCTGCTTCCTAGAAGCCTAAGACAGGGTGCATGAACTGACCACAGCGCAATCACTCTGGAAGTATGAAGTTTGAACCTGGTTGAGGCGGGGTGGGAGTTCGAAGTAGCTCTCAGAACAGTGCTGCCTTGCTGGGCCCCTCCTATGTGCCAGTCACTTTGTGAAGCACTTCATACAAGAGCCCAGGTACTACAGATGCAAAGCCGTCTGGTTTTGCATCCCCACGTCCAACATACCAGGTGTGTGACTTCTGACCTCCATGCCTTGTACCTCAGTTTCCTCATCAATAAAATGGGTAAAGTACTAATACCTTCCTTCTCACTTTGTGAGGCTTAAATGGGCTGACTCATATAAAGTGTTTACAAATGACACCTAGCATATACTAAGTGCTGGGAAAAGCTTAGCTAGTGATACGGTTTGGCTATGTCCCCACCCAAATCTCACCTTGAATTGCAGCTCCCATAATCCCCACTTGTTGTGAGAGGGACCTGGTGGAAGGTAATTGAATCATGGTGGGTTTTTCCCATGCTGTTCCTGTGATAGTGAATAAGTCTAATGAGATCTGTTGGGTTTTTTTAAAGGGAAGTTCCCCTGCACAGGCGCTCTTGCCTGCCACCATGTAAGATGTGCCTTTGCTTCTCCTTTGCCTTCCGTCATGATTGTGAGGCCTCCCTGACCATGTCGAACTGCGAGTCCCTTAAACTTCTTACCTTTATAGGTTACCCAGTCTCAGGTATGTCATTATTAGCAGCATGAGAACAGACAAATACAGCTAGGATTAATTACTGTTGATATTAGTCCATAATCCTCACATACCTAAAAAACTAGGGGGGCTGGTTTTATCATCCCTATTTTACAGATGGGGAAACAGAGGCAGCTGGAGTTAGAGACAAATCTGGGGTTAAATCCAGGACAGACTAACTCCAAAGGCAGTGCTTATCACTCACCATGTTATTCTACTGCTCAGGGTCATCGCCAAGGTCTGATATTTCACTCATGCAAAAATTCAAACAATTGGGCCAGGCATGGTGGCTCACACCTGTAATCCCAGAACTTTGGGAGGCTGAGGCAGGTGGATCACTTGAAGTCAGGAGTTCGAGACCAGCCTGGCCAACATGGTGAAACCCTGTCTCTACTAAAAATACAAAAATAAGCCAGGTGTGGTGGCTGGTGCCTATAATCCTAGCTACTTGGGAGGGTAAGGCAGAAGAATTGTTTGAACCTAGGAGGCAGAGGTTGCAGTGAGCCAAGATCACACCATTGCACCCCAGCCTGGTTGATAGAGTGAGACTCCATCTCAAAAAAAAAAAAAAAAAAATTTCAAAAAATTGCAACTTCAGGCATAAATGGGTTAAACAGTAACATTTACATGAGAGGGACTATTACTACCTCCCAGGGCTTCACAATGGGGAAACAGGAAGTATAGCAATTTGGGGTGAAGGAAAGAAGGTATACACTTCTGTTATTTGTAATATTTTGAAGACATTCACATTCATTGCTTGCTTTATTGCTTAGTAGAAGCACATATTTTTTTATTTTATTTTTTTTAGAACAGCTGGCCAATAAGTCTGATGAGTTGTGCTTTACCAAATCAGGTTTTGCAAGAGCTGAGATAGCTAGGATTATAAGAAACCTTCCAAGATGATTGCAATGTTCAGAAGACAGTGCTTCCTGTTTGCCTGACAGCAGCTGCCACCACCAAAGGTGCCCAGGATAGCCTGGATGATTAACAAGTGTCCAGAGTAGGCAAGAAGAAGGAAGGAAGACCATATGCTTACCCTTCTAAAAGCAATGAGAATAGCAGATGAATTCAAAATACACCTTGACTAACACAGACAAGATCATCATTCCTTTAATTCCCAATGCCCCAGGAAGCAAAAGGGTTGGGTTCTGTGGTTTGGATGGGCACAAGTGGGAGGAAGGAGGTGAGCCATCATTGAGCACATACTCTGTCTTGCAAGGTTTAGCAAAGCTGCTTTCTCTCATGGTAGTTAGGAGCCACTGTGTTTGGAAGTCTGGTCCTAACCCATCTTTCTCTAATACAGGGTAGGGTGGGTAGCTCCAGCCCCACCTGCCAGGAGAACAGGGCCTGCCGTCTTTGGTGCAGGCCCTAATTCCTCTATCAGAGCCCCTCAGCACCTCCATTCTGCAGAGTGAGAAAGTGGAGAATAAGGAGATACTGAAACTGACAAAAGGCAGGACATTCAAAGGGAAAAGAACATCTAACAAATACGTGAACACTGGGAACCAAACATTGTGGTTGATGGAAAAAACCCTTATGAGAAATGAGGTTAATGTGGGAAACGCTATTACAATATTAGCTTGCGATGCTCATCTCTATAATTAAATTTTCCTCAATTCCACCTCATCGGATTTCTTGCGATTACCAGGGACGCATCAATAGAAAATTACTCTTGATGAATCATTTTACAAATTGCATCGCTCCCACCTTCATGTTCACTGTCATTCATTGGAATATCGCTAACAAATACAATTACCGAGGACAGGAAGGCTGCTCTCGGTGGGGGTAAAACGACCCCTGGGTTATTCTGGGTGTGTGTGGGGAGATCCCTGCCTCCCTTAGAAACCCTAGAAGAAAACACTGGAAAAATCAGGACCCCATGAATGGCCCCCAGGCTACTCTACTGGCATGGGTGTGTGTGCAGGAGCACTGCTTCGTTCTGTCCAGCAGGTGTACCTGAAGCAGCGAAGACACAGCCATTTACCCCCATCTCCTCCATGTCTGGCATTGGAAATCCTTAGGGATGCTAAAGATGTGAACTTGATCAAGAAGGAACCTAAGACCTCTAAGAGGGTGGGATTGGGCCTGGCCAGCTCTGGAGGGGCTTTCTTTTGCCTGGTTCATAGGGGAAGAAGGAGCAGGCTTCCAGCTCAAGAAAACATGGGGTCTCTATCTTTCTGCTTGCTCTGCACAAAGACAGCAGAAGCTGAGCCTTCACTTTGAGACTCCTATGATAGAGGATTGATTGATTGATTTTTTTGAGACGGAGTCTCGCTCTTGTTGCCCAGGCTGGAG